GAGAGTGAGAGAGGAGAGAGAGGAGAGAGAGGAGAGAGAATTTTTAATATTTATTTTTTAGTTCTCGGCGGATACAACATCTTTTGTTGGTATGTGGTGCTGAGGATCGAACCCGGGCCGCACGCATGCCAGGCGAGCGCGCTACCGCTTGAGCCACATCCCCAGCCCCCCCCAGTTCTTTTTTGTATTTTATTTAGCAACAGGGTCTCACTGAGTTGCTTAGGGCCTCTCTAGATTGCTGAGACTGGCTTTAGACTCGCAATCCTCCTGCCTCAGCCTCCTAAGCCACTGGGATTACAGGCATGCACCACAGTGCCTGGCCAATAGCTTCATTTTTAAAATGAGGAAGGTGAGGCTAAGAGAAATTAAGAATTAAGTAATTTTTTCAAAAATTATTTCGTTTGGCCTGGGAGTGTCACTCAGTGGTAGAGCATATGCTTAGCATGTGTGAGACCCTGGGTTCAATCCCCAACACGACCAAGAAAAAAAAAATAGTTCCATAATATGTACAGCTGAGATTTGAACCCAATTCCCAAATCTACACTCCTTGAATAGATAATCTACCTCCCTAAGCCTTGGCTGTCCCAGGGCCTTCAGAGTGAAGGGAAGAGAATCCTTTGTCTCTGAAATGCCAGGAGATGCCAGCATCCCTGCACCTGCCTTCACATTTCCCTTCTCGGGTTCCTAATGAAACAGGTTCAAAGATGTGGGCTCCAACCTCAGCCTGCTTCCTGCACAGCAGGGCTTCTCCCCTGTAGAGAAGTGGGCAGGACCATATCCTCTGAATTTAGGGCATTGCTCTACATGTTTTCCAAGGAGTTCTGCTACAGGAGCGGGTAAGGAATCCGGACTTTGGAGGAAGAAACTGCTGCCTGGGATAAAAGAGTGGGCAATAGCGAGGTCACTTGTGCTGTGACTGATGGGGTACAGGTATGGTTTAGCTTTCAAGTGTCAGGAATGCTTGAGTCCTAGTGATCTGTCAGTGATGACAACTCGCATTCAAGCCTTCTTTCCCCTCTGGCCTGTGCAAGTAAGCAGTTCCTTCCCTTCTTGCTCAGAGAGCAAGGCCAGTCCTTAGAGTTTGAGGTCTGACTGCTGAGAGCAAGCGCAAAACCAGGTTGGAAGATAGTGATGGCAAAGGGCAGAGAGCTCATCTCTGGGAGAGATGTCATAGAATGTGTGCCCAGACAAGAGGCGGGAGTCAACGGAGAGCAGAGGACAGGCTGGAGCTCTGGGTCATTGTCAGATCTTGGCAACATGGTGGGGAAAATCAAATGATTCTGTTGGAAGAGGAGGGGGGAGAGAGGATGAAGTGGAAATACACTGGACTGGAATTTAGACACCTGGCTCCTCCACTAACTTATTTCTTTGGTTCATTTCCCTGTTCTCTGGCAGGTTGAGAGTGGAAGAGTCAAGAGCAGGACACAGGGAGGAGAAAGAGACACAGAGCGAAAAAGAGAAAGAAACTAGATGTGCACGTGTCCCTGGGGTTTTCTCAGACAAAGCTATTATCAAAATGCCAACCAGCTCCTGCCTGGCTAATTTACATATTCCACGCTGTGCTCTTTGAAGCAGGATGAATATGCATGAGGGATTGGGCGGGTTGTGGGGCTGTTGGGCTGTGGGCTAAGGTGGCTCATTGTTCTTTTAGAAGAAAGGCATTAAGAAGCTAAAGAACCTTCTGGGTCAGCAGAGTGACCTGTGCTTCCACTCCCTAATGAAAGGAGGAGAGCAAACCTCAGGCTCAGACAGGAATCCAAACGCCTTTTCTTTCACCCTCTCAAGGAAATAAATAATCTGGCGCCATCAAGAAAGGGAGTGCCTCTTCTCCAAGGGTAACATTTAATTACCCCTCTCTCTGTGCATACTAATCACAGAGGCTGGCTGGTGGTGAGGTGATGAGTCACCTCTCCTGGTTTCTGTGAAAACAGCCTGTCTCTCTCTTCTTCTTGCTTCTGCTGCAAGGAAACTTGGGCATTCTGAAATACTACCTGCTTTTGACCTCTGGTGTTGAGCCATGATGCCCTCAGTGACGGGGCTATGGTTGGAGTGCCTAGACTGAGTGGGTGCTCAACAATGCTCAGGAATGGCCTCAGTCAAGGCCATGAGGGCATAAGACATGCTAAAACTGGGTAGTGGCTGGAGTGTAGCTCAGTGGTAAAACACATGCTTAGCATGCATGAAGACCTGGCTCAATTCTTAGCACCAAAAATACAAAGGCAACTAAAGGATTGTGCCTAATACTTGAGAGTCTCCATCTCTTTCTTCTTCTCTGACCACTCCAGTGTTATTCTGATGAGTATGAAATGGCTTCTATAATTTTAAAAACCCAATTTGTCCTTCAAACTTTGAGGGCACAAAACCCTTACCTTAAAGTTCTCTTTCCAAGGAATTACATCTGTCTCCCATCCTCAAATACACCTGGGAGGACAGAGAACATGGACTATTCTATTTGGAAAATGGTCTGTCCCCCATGATCACTGCTTCAACTCTACATAAATCAAGAGTAGCCTCTAGCTCTGCAGTAGAATTTTCTAACTGGGACTTGATCTAGTAGAATTTTCTAATTGGGACTAGACTAGTTTGCAAAATCCTTCAATAAAACCACACCTCAGTAATGGACCTACTAGTGCCAGAAAGGTCTCCATCCTACCTACAAGGGGACTCCCTACAGACCTTGGGCCTGCAATACTCCTCCTTGAGTGCAGACATACTAGACCAGACTAGAGTTTTGCAGCTAACTGACTGGACCTGTAAATGTCCCCCCTTGTTAGTTCCCCCTTAGAACCCTTCCCTGTTGTTATACAATCAGGAATTATGAGAACAGGGGAAGGGGCCATGAGGCATACATGCAAATTCTTGGGGTCATAAACTAATATAAATATTAGTTCTTTGACAAATATGGATGGCTTTGATTCTGCAACTCATTGGCACTAAAGATAAAAATGCTAAAGGCCACTGGTGTTGTGAGGTTATTAACAAGTTTGACACTTTGCCAGCTGTGGGGTTTTTCATTAGTCTCAGCAAAAGGGAAGCAGTGAGTCCCTAAGAGCTTTGGATTTGTCAGATCTGGGTCAGCCACTCCTTTTCCCCCAATTTATCCTGCCAGCAGGTGTGTGAAGCAGCAGAGACAAACTAATCAAAGCTCCTGGTAGTAAAAAATACATCACAAGTGTCAGGGACACATTCTTTCCAGGAGGAGGTGAGTGGGGAAGGGGAGAAGAGCAGCTCCTCTTTCTGTTGCCTTTTGTCCATGTTGGAAGTGTAGAGGGACTATGACATCCATTCCTCATGGTTTTGCATGACCTTTCCCTCTATCCTTGCTACTCCAAGCATGGTGCCCAGCTGTATGGTCCTCACCTAGCAGCTTGTTATAAATGAAAAATCCCAGGCCACATCCCAGACCAACCAAGTCAGAATCTGCTTTTAATAGGACCCTTGTGGTTAGTATTTTCAATCAAGTCTTGAAAAGCTCTGCTCTAGGTTTTCAAAATTGATGGAGTTTTGACTCTCAATACTTAACCCAAGGACATTGCAGATAATGTGATTAACAGGTGAGCCTAATTCTCTTTCCTGGCTTTCCCCTGTCCTCATCATTCCTGATTGTATAACAACTGCCAGGTGTCTCTCTGAGGACCTCTGCTGTCTGTAATTGCGTGAATTAGAGCTGCAGACAGTGGGTTGTTTCCCTGGTAGGGTTAAGTCCCTATCCCCTGCCCCAGGCAAGATGATCTACTAGTCTTCTTTTAGACAAACAAAGGCCCAGGAAGTGAGAAGCAAAGCACCCAGAATGTCTTCTACTGTCACCTATGTCAACCCTGTGGTCTTCTGTGGAGTAGTTAACATAGTAAAGAATGGCTCTCCGTGTGACATGCTTGGTTAAAGCAAACCCTACACTCCTAATTGGATAAGAGACCTAAGTGCTAGTTTGTCTCCATCACTTCCTAAACAGCCCTGGGCCAGCTGCTGCAGACTTCTGCTTCTTGGTTTCACCTGGAAAATCACAATAAAACTAGTAATTACTTGTACATAGGGTTGAGGTGATGTGAGGACAGTGTGTAGAAAGTGATAAGGCCAGTGGCAAGCACATAGCAAGTATCCCATAAAGGTATTTTGTTTGTTTGTTTGTTTTTATTTTAAGAGAGGGAATATAGAATTGGCAGAGTTAACAACATCCAACCCAGAAAAGGAAGACCAAAGGAATTCAGGTTGTGGTGAAGTGGAGCCCATACCTGGGACCGAGAACAGCATTTGACAGCTGCTTAGTCATGGTTAGAAGCTGCGTGTTGTTTTGTTTTGTTTTGTTTTGCTCAAGATTGAACCCCGGAGCACTTTACCCATCCCTTTTTATTTTTTATTTTGAGATAGATTCTTGCTAAGATGCTGAGACTGGCCTGAACTTGTAACCCTCCTGCCTCAGCCTCCCACATCGCTGGGATTACAGGTGTGTGCCAACATGCCCAGCAGCTGCTTGCTACAGATGCCAGAGACTGCATGTAGAATCAGAGCAACCAGACCTCAGGGCTGCAGGATGAGCAGGGACGATGTGCAAAGTCCTGGGATGCTGTTCCCTGGGGTGGGGGCAAAAGAAGAAAAGCCACAATTTCCTATGTCCCTCCAACCCCAGAACCCCAAGACCTCCAGGAGCCAATGTAGCTACCCCGACAGGAGGCACTGCAGTTGCCTGGCTCCTCCTTGAGCTCTTCTCTCTCCCCACACTGGTCTGATGCCCGCTTTGGCCAGCTAATTTCTACAACATATAGTCCCTTTAATATGGCCACACAGTAAAATCTTAGGAGTCTGTTGATGGCCTCCTTCTTCTGTCTGTTGATGGCCTCCTTCTTGTGTCTATACAACCCACAGAGCATTGTCCTGGTCCATAAGCACTATGCTAACTGCCACGAGCCACAGGTCAGCATGTAAAGGTAGCTACATATCCTTCCTATAAAAGGTTTGAAACAGAGAGTTGATGGACACCATACTCCAAAGCACATAAAGAATATTAATTAAATGAAGGTTTATTTCAAAATTAGTCTTAGAGTATAAGCTGTTTTTGAGGGCTGGAGCCAGACTACATAATGAGCGGTGAGAGCTTCTGCCTTCCCTGACGTAGGCGGAGAGGAGGCGACATCACCGGCCCTGCGCCCCTATCATGCATCCAATGATTGCTAGCACTAGAAGCCAACGGCAAAGGACCCGCGCAATTGCTCATGTTTAATCCAGGTTAAGCTATACACGTTTAAATACACGTCGGAGGTTACGTGGTGTCATGCAGTCCCCGTGATGGGATGACTCTTGCTCAGTGACCTCCTGCAACCAGGCTGCTCCAAAGGCAAGGTTAGGTAGGACAGAGCACTGAAACGAGAGGAGAGGCGAGAGATC